TATCACACACCATGACGTCCCATGTTTATCAGAGAAGAGGGTGGATTTGTGCTCTGGCCGCCAGTATACATCTGCTAATCCTAAAGCTGGGTCTGTCATCCTGCCACTTGGGACAGGAGCAGGTGACAGGGTGGTTATCTTGCCTTTCTTTCCTTCCTTCCTTCCTTTCTAAAATGTATTATATTTTAATTTATGTGTGTATATGTGGGAGCGCACTCATACCACAGTGCATGTGCAGAGGTCTCAGGACAACTTGGGGGGCGGGCGTTGATTTTTTCCTTCTACTCTGTGGGCCCCAGGGATTGATCTCAGGTCCTCAGTCTTGGCAGCAGGCACCTTTCCCTGCTGAGCCATCTAAAAGCTGGCCCCTTTGCCTTCCCTGTCTCTCCCAGTTAGTTGCTTTTCTCATTGTCGTGACCAACAAGTCCGACAGGAGTAACTTACAAAAGAAAGTTATGGCTTTATCTTTTGCTGTAGCCCTTCAGTCAATACAGCGATCAGGAAGGAAGGCAGGGGTGGATGGGAGGGATGGGAGATGAGGGCAGGAAAGCGGTGCAGGGGTGGGGTGGGATATGTTTTGACTTACAGTTTGGAGGCATACAGTCCATCACAGCAGGAAAGGTATGGTGTCAGACATAGCCCAGAGTCATGAGCACCTGGTTGCATGACTTAGGCAGTCAGGAAACAGAGAGCTCTCTCCAGAACTGGGACCTGGCTCCGACCCTCAAAGCTGGACCCCAGAGAGACTCACTTCCTCCACCCAGGTGCCGCCTCCTAACGGTTCCCTCATCACTTCCCCAAATAGTGCCACCTAGTAGAGGCCAAGTGCCCAAACGAGCCTGTGGGAGATATGTCACATTCAGACTGTAACTGTTGCTTGCTGTGCATTTATGGAGCATTTCCTAGGCTCCAGGCATTGAGTTTTCATCAAAGGGAGACAGTGTAGCCCCTCCCAGAAGGGATGTAGCAGGGACACCCCCCCATGTCCATTGCTCAGTGCCCAGCTCAGAGCCTGGCACACAAGACATCTCCCTGTTGGCTGAGGGCCCGAGAAGACAGGACTTTTATTATCAGATATGAATTGGGTGTCCACTCCATATTACTGACTGAATGGGATCCAAATATTCAAGCAAGAACCCCTGGTGTGTCCAGGGACACAAGGGGTTAGGAGGTGTGAGGACTAGTGTGGGGACCCTGGTTTTCCTCCCAGTTCAGCATGGTGAGAGGCAGGGTGCTCTGTCCTGTTTTTCCATCTTCTCCTTGCTGGCCTTCTTTCTCAGGTCAAGAGCACCCCAAGAAGAAGAGGCATGTCTGATGCACTGTGGGTCCTGAGAAAAAGTCGGCCATAATCTAAAGAGATAGAGGCATGAGTGGTTCATTGTTTCACCTCTGTGATTTGTTTGCGGGTATTTAGTGAGTGCCTACTGCGTGCTCACCATGGATGCCATCTACATCCAAAGCTTCTCTCACGTCCAGAGTGCCTCAGAGAGTCATAGATCTAGTCCTTGAGAGTCCCTGTCAGGTAGGAGTTCTCGTCGTCTGCCTCATCCCTGACATGCCTATACAGTCCTGCCAGTCAGTTTACCCCATTTCCAGGCTGATGACCTCAGAGATGCCACCTGAGGGCTGGCTGTGAGCCTTGTCCCCTTCATGGGGACAATGGCTCCGTGTCTTTGGCAGTAGTTTATTCCTGGTGACTGGCTGTAAGTCATAAACCCGTGGGGCAGAAATAATGGATGGGAAGAAGCAGGAAGCAGGGTCTCTTCTCTGCCGGTCTTCAGGCCAGCATCCTTGTCTCTTCCTTCCAGCTGACTGTGACTCCCAGAGCCTCCAAGTCTCACTGCCTTCCCAGCAAAGTTCGGCAGGCCCTTGTCACTATTTACTGAACTGAATGAGTCTGATGAGCAGCCCTCCCTACTCCAGTTCAAAAGACCCTTGGAATGGCTTCCATGCACCCACATTCTGGATGGGGAGGGTGAAGCATGATGGACACATTTCAATCCTTCTGGGCTTCCAACAGTTTCCCATGGGTTTAGGGGCTGTCTGGTTCTTGACACCAACATTACATTTCAGGATCACGGGGGAGATTTGGAAAGGCCTTGGTGCCACCACTGGCCAGCTATTTACCTTTGAGGAAATGCACCTCCTTGCCTGGATACCTGTGTCCTCACAACGGGGAGACCTAGAGACTTTCTCTACCTTGTTTGCCACACCCATTCTTTGAGACCTTTTTGCAATCCACCCTATATTCCTATGATTCTTCCATGGGAGATGCCTCTTCTCCACAGCCGTAGGCGTATCTAACATCCTTTAGGATCTAAAAGCCACCTCCTCCTGGGTGCAATTCCTGGGTTTCTAGCCATCCTCTGAGTCAGTCAGCTTGACAATTCAACTGATCCTTGTGTGCCTCGTTGAAAGTCCCAATCATGGCCTTTTTGTGTTATCTCTGTTGCCAGCAGGAGTACCTCGTGATGTGGTGAGTGCGAGGTCACCCATCCAGATGTTCCTCTCTACCCTAAGTTGTTCCTGGGGACTTCTCTGTCCACATTACAATTTATATGTGTTCAGAACCATGTGCAGTTTCTTTGTCCCTAACCATTAACAGTAGCCCGCTTCCCTCAGAGCAGAGGTTTGCATACTGCATATTGGTTTTATAGCTTTGTTTTACAGCTTCTTCGGGTTGGCAATGTTTGGAGTGCCAATTATGTTCCAGATTCCAGGCCGGCTGTGGGGTCACAGAGGTAACCGGACAGTGACAGCACCGTGATGTGTGGACAAGGGTGGGTGTGAGTGGAGTGGCTGGCTACATCAGGTGAGCATTGAAGGACAAGGATGTGTTCAATAGCAGCAATGAGGAAGAAGGAAGCCTGGGCAGACGTGACATAGGTCTTAAAGTGGCCAAGCTTGCCCAAGCTGGGGGCAGGGAGGCTGGGAGTGTCTCAGGGCAGAAGATGAAGTGGGGGAGGCTAAGGAGGGTCTGCTGGGAAGGAGAAAGGGCTGTGGACTGCATCACCATTCCGACGTGCAGAGGACAAGAGTCGGGTACTGAGTTCAGCGGCCTCTGTACCACTTTCCAGCTTAGTCAACCTTCTTTTCAGTGCAGATAACAGCACATCTCCCTTCCCATAGCACAATGGCTCTCAGCCAGGATAGAGCGTGGGTACGCGAAATATCACTGGTCGCCAAATCCCTCAGTAATGGAGATAAATATCTAAGAGTGTCAACCTCACTAAGTAGACGAGATACCTAACACTTAAATTCAATACTTTAAGGCAAAAACAAAAAAAAAAAGCACCCTGAACAAAATACCAAAAAAATGTAAATAAAGACAGGATGTGCCTGGTACAGAGTATGCAGCTCAGAAACACATGCGGGCAGTGATTGGACTGGGAGTAAGTACTTTACCTCCGCAGCTGTGAACTTCGGAAAACTCGAGGAAGCCCCAGGCCCTTTCTCTGGAAGAAGGCACAGTCTGTGCACAGCCTCGGGGTGCTCTTGCAAACGAAGGTGAAGCACTCCGAATGGACACGGGGGTGCCCGGGCCCCCGGCGGCCGTGGGTGCTCTGCCCCCTGCAGGATGCCGCGCACAGTTCGGTGGCTCCCTCCCCCACTCCGACTTGGGACTTTTCCGAAAGTTTGCTGAAACCAGACACCTTGCTTGACCGTGCCCGCGTGCAGCCGCGGTTTAAAAGGCTGCCTTCAGCGCCCCTTCCCCGCCCCCAGCGGAGACTTCAAAAGGGCCGGCGCCCGCCGCGGCCCCGGCACCTATGAGCCACCCCCCGCACCCGGAGCTCGCGCCGGAGCCTGAGCACACGGAGTGGCCACGGCTGCAGCGCAGGGGGACCGGGCCAGTGGCGCAGGCCCGCGCTCCCATGCTCCTCCCGGCGCCGCTGCGCCCCGCGCTCCTTTAGGGAAGGGGACTGCACCCCCGCCCCCGCGCCCGGGGCTGCGGGGACCCATGACTACAGATGCCGTTAGGCACCCGAAGAACCGACCGGCCAGCGTCGAACTTAGGGACTCAGTAAGTGTCCAGAGACTCCTGGAGCGCTCAGCATTCAGAGTGCGCAAAGGTGCATGCGTGTGCCAGGGTGGGCACAAGTTCTGTGTGCACGCCCGAAGTTGCCATTCGCAGAGGGTTGTGTGCTAGGGGGAGTGTGCATTCGGGGACGTGAATGGACTGTGCATATGGGAGTGTGTGCCCTATGCATGTGCATTTGTGCCGTGTGAGTACTCGCGTGGCTGCCTCTGCGAGCGTAGCGTCTGAGCCTGCGCGGAATCCGGACATCCGAGGGTGTTTCTCTGGAGCTCAGATAAGTGCGTGGCTGTGTCTGCCTGTGAATGAGTGTGAGTGTTTGGAGTGTGCCTGTGGGAGGGAGTGTGTGCGCGCGCTCACCAGTCAGTATGAATCGCTTTATAGAGGCTAGAAGCCAGAGGGAATTTAGTCTCAGGGCTGAGCGGTGGTTTTGAGTTTGAGAATCTGCCTGGGTGTCGAGAGTGTGCGCGTGGAATCCCGGGGATTCTTTCGTTGGCCTTAGGGGTGAAGGTGCAGGAAGGCTGAAGACATTCAACGCGCTCACCCGCAGCGTTCTTCCAGAAGCTCTGAATCTAGGGTGCAACTTTTCTGCTAATAGTTGGGAGTTAAGACAGACGGCGGTTGTCGTGGAAGTGTAGGTGCCAAGTCAAGGTCACAGCTGTGTTCCTGGAACTCTGGGATCCTTTCAGGAATAGAAATTGTCCCCTTGGACCCCACCCTACGGCAGCGAGGACCCTTAGTGTCATAAATCATAAGTTCCTAACCTCAGTGTGATGGATCTCTGGGCAACCCGGAGCAGCCCCCTTTCCACGTGTCTGTTTTGAGATCTTCACTAGGAGGAGGGGCGAGGATGTCCCCCTCTCGGATGGGTGGATGGTCGCGCGAGGCGACCGAGGCTGCATCCCTTGCTGCGTCCGGCAGGGGGCAGCAGGTGGCAGCAGAGGGCGGCCCGGCGCGGGGAGGAGAAGAAGGTGGAGAGCTGCGGCGGGCCGAGACTTTAAATCGCCTTCATTTCCCCCAAATCCTTCCTTTTCCTCTCCTCCCCCAGGCCGGCGGGGAGGCAGCTTCCACCGCCCTCCGCGCGGGCTCGCCCGGCCTTGCTTTGCCTCCAGGGACCGCTAGCGGCCCACCTCCAAAAGTTTGATCATCTCTCTCTATCTCTCTCTCTGCCTTTTCTTGCTTCTTCCTTTTTGGTGGAAGCAGAAAAAGAGAGGCAGGGGCGAGCGCGGCTGCCGGACTCCTGGGACCATGGGCCTGGCGCGGGCGCCCGCGGGGCTGAGGCCGTGCCGTTCGCCTGCTCCGGCGCCCCTGGGCGCAGGGCTGCGCTGGGGGTGCGCGGGCAGCGCGCTCTGAGCCGGCCTGGCGCGGCGCGGCGGGGGGCTGGCGGCCCCATGGGGCGCGCCCACACTTGCCCCCCGGGCTCGGGAGTATGAAGTAGGGGCCTGCCATGGGCAAGGGATCGGCGCGGGGGGCCCGAGGCACAGCGGCGGCAGGACACGGGGGGTGAGTACGAGCCCATGGTTGCCCCTGACCCAGCTTCCTGCGCCTCGGATGTGCACGGGAGGCTGGGGTTCCCCGCCACGCCAGACGCTTGCAGAGGAACGTCAGCTTCCTGTAGATTCCTGCGCCCCCGCTAGGCGGGACGCCAAGGGTTAACAGGGGCTGCGCCCCCAGGCCAGGCTGCGCCTTGCTATTGGGGAGAGGGCCCGAAGAGGAGGGTCGGTGCAGAGCCAGACGGGCGATCTAGAAGAGCGGACGAGTGGCGGCACTCAGAGTGGCGGGCTGGGACAGGGGTAGGGGCAGGAGGAGGGAGTCTCGATGTCTGCAGGTCTCAAGCTTGCACGCCTCGGGTTCCACTGTCCTGTGAGTCAAGTTTGTAGGTCTCCAGGTCCGGGCGTTTGCTCCTGGCTCAGTCTCTGTGGTTCTGCACGTCCCTGCTTTCCTAACCTCTCTGCTTATGAATGTGTCTGCCTGGGTCTGAGTGCCTCAGACTTTCCCAGCTTCTCCCGGGAAGCCTGCAGTTCCTGTCCCTCTCCGGAGTAAGCGAGGAGTGAGAGCCAGCTTGTGGGAGCGGAAAGGCCCTGGGAGATCACCAAGTCCAACCTCCTTGTACAGATCAGGGAACCGCGGCCAGAGTGGGGCCGGGAATCTCCAGGGCGGGGCCCGCACACAGCTGGCACCCCGCGGCTGGGATTCCCAGCTTGTGCAGAAGTTGTAAGAGAGAGCGAGGGATCCAGTCACTGCGTGTGGGTGTGTGTGGGAGAACGCGGTCCGGAGGGGCCCTGTGGACTGCATGCAGCTCAGGCACAGGGCTTGTCCTTCATCCTGCGGGGACTCTAGGGCTCCCGGGAGAGCCTGGCTGGGGTTGTAGCACCGCCCACCCGCTCAAGAAACACCCCTCTGAGCTGGAGCCCGGGTGATGAGGGCCCCCCCTTCTTTTCCATGTCTTGGAAAAAGCTGGCTGTTTGAGATTCCCCCACTCCCCCACCACACACATTCGTATACACAGGGCACCAGTGAGCGCACTGGTGACTCATTTTCTCCGGGAGACCCTGTGCCAGGGCAGATGCCAGCGGTTGGGCAGTGTGGTGGTGCCAGGGAGCACCCCACAATGAGGCCGAAGCTTTAGGCAGGCCAACAGTCCCAATGCCTCCCTGCCTTCCTGGCCATACGTCCTCAAGCTCCTAGCCACCTTGGCTTCAGCAAACCTTCCAGCTGTGCATCCCCACCCCACCCCCTTCCCCCGTGGATCCTTCTTCCCCTCCTTGCTTCTGCGTTGAGAAGTCCGCTCTCCTGTTTATCCATGCCACTCTTCGGTAGACAGCGGCTTCTGGGACTTTCATTGAAGGAGCCCATCCTCAGTGCTTTCCCTTGTCTCTGCTTGCATCCCAACACACTCCCCTGATACCTTGTTGGTAGTTTCTTCCTCCAATCTCAGTGCTCAGGGACCTTCTAGGTGTCCCCCAAGGCCTGGCCTGGCCTGGCATGCAGAGGATCCAGTTCACTGGCAGTCATGAATGGGCAAGGAAGCCGTCCTGGGCTCACTTCAGTGGAAAGCAGGCTTTGGGGCAGAGCGTAGGAACCTAGCAACAGGCAGTTTGAGTTCAAGTCCTGTATACTATGCTGTGTGCGTGGCCAGGCCTCCCGCCTCTGTGCTGCTCATTCTCACATCCACCAGGTGAGCATCAGCCCTCCCAGCTGGCAAGGTTTTGTGAGAGTTAAAGAAGCCTGCTGGGCAAGGGCTCTGAACATGGGCTAGTGCATAGTAAGTGTTCAGTAAAGCACAGCTGTTATTTGTATCTGTACTCACTGCTTTGTGAATGGGCGTGTGAGTCAATGGGCAAGTTCTGGGCTATATCCTGTCCAGACGGATGACCTCCATGTGTGTGTGTGTGTGTGTGTGTGTGTGTGTGTGTGTGTGTGTGTGTGTGTGTGTGTTCCCATGGAGGTGGAAGGTGTGGAGAAGGACTTTGGGTGTGGCTGTCTTGGGCACATAGGGTCTGGTGAGGCCACAGAGGCAGGTGGGGTAGGGACAGACTCACGTCCTTCCCAGTCAGCCCTGGTGCCGCTCAGTCCATGGTAGAGCAGCTGGGTGCAGCATCCACAGGGCTGCCTGCCTCAGGGGTTCCTATGCCCTCTGGTCATGAGGACCTTGGAGCTCTCTGCATGTTGAAGCTGGGATGGACTTCTGAATCTTCAGTGTTTCCAGGAAACAGGTATGGAGGGAAAGCCATCCAAACAGAAGGCAGCTTCTGGCCAAGTCTCTGAACAGGAACAGCCCTATGTGTGGCAAGCTAATGACTGGCTTCTTGCAGGAGGCAAGAACCCCCGGCTACTCCCTGGAGGGTCAGGCTGTGTCTCCAAAGTGCTATCCTTTGTGGCTCCTATCTTGGGGTGCCTGCTGCCCTCTCTGGGGGTGGTCCTCATGCATTGATCTTCCATATGCCATGGAGCCCCTCCATGTCCGAGCCCTCCATGTCCAAGGTCTGTGAAGTTGTAGTGGAAACGGAAGTCAGGGAGAACAAAGCCCTGAGCCAGTGCGGCCACTAGTGTTATTAACAGTAGCCTAAACAGCACTGGAACAGTAGTCACAGTGCCGGGCCTCCTCCCTTCCGCAGCCAACTTTCCAGGCTGGAGCTTACTCACAGAGATGGCTCCGGGGCTCCCGGCTGCATCTCTATTCCTGCTGAGAAAGCTGGAACTCTGGTCCCCAGTAAGTAGCAAGTCTCTAAAAGATTCTACCTTCTCCTGCAGGGAAAAACACATCAAATGTAGGTCTGTTGGTGGGAGAGTTGACTGGCTGTGGGCGAATCCCCTCTCTCTGGGCTCTTGTGGCTCATCTCTTCAAAAAGATGGTTAGGGATAGAATCTGGTCCCTAGGGCTCTTCAAGACCCTTCTCTCACTGAGATGTGATGAATACTGGGAAGTTTAGCCTCCAATGGGCACAAAAGCCCAACCCCAGAAGGCCAGCTGCATTTGTGCCAATCTTCTGCAGCTTGGCCTTAGGCAGCTGAATAGTACAAGAAGGCTCGACTCCACCTCCAGTGCCGTCCTTCTGACCGTTGAGAACTTGATGTAGTGTCCTCTAATCTACCCTTTAGGGTACCCTACTGCCGGAAATGACCTAGGTGGACACATGTGGCTCTTGTGCCTACTCTGGATCACCTGGTGTCCCTCTGTTATCTGGAAAACATCCAAGACAGGTGCAGGTGATACAACATTGGCAGACTCAAGGAGTGAAGAGAAGTGCCAGGGGTCAGGTGCTCAGTTTCTTGTCTGCAGGACTTCTGGGAGCTTTTTGGATACAGGCATGCTGGGGAAGCCATCTAAGCTTGGATGCAGAGTTGGCTCTTCCCCGGGCTGCCTGGCGACTGTTTTCCTAGAGTGCCTCTCTGAATGACAATATGTTTTGGGATCTGCACAAAGTGCCTTTGAAGGCACCCACCCTGACTTCTGTCAAATAAAACTTAATAGCCTGACCCCAGTTCCCAGGGCCACCGGGGCTGCCTGTGGCTTTTGAAAGCCAGCCATGGCCGGAGGACTCCCTACCCTTTGCAGAAGGCAAAGCCAGTGTAGCTGGGCACTCTGACTGCTGGTTAGCAGTCGGCCACAGTGAGCAAGATGCAAGACGTTTGGCCCCAGGAGAAAGGAGAGCTCCTAGCCGTGTCAGCAGACTGGGAAGGGCAAGCGGGGGTGGGACCTGGAAGGAGGTAGAGCCACGGAGGAAAGCTTCGGGAAGATACTTTCGAGTCCGGAGTCCTCCTACACCATGTGGTCTGCAATCACCGTGCAGGCCTGTGTGGCACCTTTCCTGTCCCTGTGCACAGGTCTGCCGGAGAAGGTGTCAAAAGCCTAATGTCAGCATCCCAGAGCCCTTTCATCCAGTCAACCTCAGGCTGCAAGTAACCGAAGACTATATCCAACCTGATTTTAACAAGGGGTCAGTGGTCATTTCCCTTTGAAGAACCTCAAGAAAGATTAGTGTAGGGGTGGTGACACTAACACCCGTGATGGTTCCCTTTCTGCCATCCTTGTGTGTCCATGGGACTTCTTACCTCTCACACACCAAGTGGCTGGCAGCATCTCTGAACAGCATGTCTTCATTCAAAAGCACCCAGAGGCCGGCAGAAAAATCTTTCTATTCTTTCCACATATTTTCCTAGGGTGCTGACAGGCATCATCCTACATCTCATTGGCTATATTTGAATCATATATGCATTTCTAAACAGGTCACTGACATGGTCTGTATTCACCCAGTGTCCTCTGAACTCTGTGGGTGGGTAAGCCCGGGTGGTGTGTTACACAGCACCAAAGTCATGCTTGCTACTGAATAAAGTTCCAACTAGATTTGAAAGTAGGGAGGCCTGGCAGGGAATGAGCCAGGAGTTGCAGACAGCAGCCCTGGGTTTCCTATATTGCCCTGTTCCCCAGGAGCACACCAGCCTGATTTTACTCTTAGAAGAGGAACCGGGCCAGTCACCCAGCTCAGCTTCCAGCTGCCATCTCAACCATCTCTGGCCACGTGCCCCAGCCTCCCCTCTGCCCTCCTGGGGATCAGTTGCCCTGAGTGGCTTGGGTGTCCTAGTGGATGCTCCCACAGGAAGGTGAAATAGGATCCTCACCTCTGCCTATCATGGCAGTAGCCACTGAGTGCAGCTTTAACCATGCCTGGACGCCACAGTGGGGTGGAGGCAGTGGTGAGGGAGGGCGGACCTGGCTGGGCCAGGTCAGTTCTTTAATGCATGAGCCGATTTAATCTCCACATCTGGCCTGCAAGAGAGGATGTGTCAGTCCACGCTGCAGACTAGAGGAGCTCAGGAAGGCGGAGTGACTCATCTGGAGTCACACAGCCTGGAAATCACAGGGAACCAGGTTTGCTCCTGGGGGCACCTGGCTTGGCTCTGCCCCCATCCTCGAACCCCTATTTTCCTCTGTCAGCACAAGTGGGATCAGCTGTTGTCCGAGCCCTGAGAAGGGGTCTTCCCTTCCACCGGCACCTTGAGGACCCTGGTCTTCGGAGCAGACCAGCCTATTTTTCCATCTGTCTTTCAGCCGTGGCTCTGCTATCCATAGCCTGGGGCCTGGGGAAGCTTGTCTTGAACTTCCGGGGCTGTAGTGCCGATGAAGGGCTGAACTCTAAACCTCCCAACATTTTGCACATGGTTTTAGACCCCGCTGTGAAGAGCAAAGCTGTGCTGGTAACTTGCTGGGCTGCTGGGTTGGAGCCCAAGAGCATGCTGGGAGCGAGAGCCAGTCTGCTTGGTCCTTGAAATCTGTGCCTTGCCTCTGGCTTCCAGTATGAGACCAGGGTGGAAGGGAACTGGGCTAGGCCGTCCCTCCTGGCTCCCTAGCCGGATCTGGGTGTGAGGGTGGAAGCTGATGCCCTGTGCATTTGTGTCTGCCTGTCTCTAGGGGGTTTCTCTTCGCCTGGATCTTGGTCTCATTTGCCTGGCATCTGGCCTCCACCCAAGGAGCTCCTGAAGGTAATTCTCTCTTTTCTTTGTCCGATGGGAGACAAAGGAGGGCGGAAGAGAACTCGAGAACTCGGGTAGCAGACATCCACACCACTAGTTGGAATGTAGAGGCTCAGTTTTCCCATCCAGAGAATGGAGCCAACCATGGGCCCAGTTCCCTGGGGTCTGTGAGGGGTTGGAAGGGTTGCATGCAGGACTGTTCTCCTGTTCCCGTGAGTCTGATCTGAATGCCTCCTTTGCTTCAGTCTGCTGGGTATCTTAAGAGCCACTGTAGGGAACACGGAGGCTACAATGTCTTTGCCCACTCCTGGCATCCCTAGACCCTTGGCTTTTGCTGTCCCTGGAGAGATGTCCGGGCATATATGGGCTAGCCACTCCACTGCCCATAGAAACTCAGACCTTTCCCATATCTGTGCAAAGTGGACATAACATCTCTAAAATTAACTGCTCTTCCTTCCTCCATACCTGCCATGTTCTGGGGCAGGCAGCAGGCACCTTGAAAATCCCCATACCCTGACTTGGTCACTGAGTAGGAACTGGACCCCTGGGAGGTAAGGGCCATGCCCGGAAGGGACTTCTCTGCCCAGCAACATTTGTTCATGTGTCATATTTTCCGAACTTGCGGAACAGCTGTCCAGAGTCCTGAGTCAGGCAGGGGGCGGGAGCGACCGGAGCTGTACTGAGCCAGGTTTATGTAATAAAGGCATCTTGCTGAAGCCAGCTGGCAGGCCTGTGCACCCTGGCTCAGGCCCTCAGTTCATTCCTTGTCCCCTGTCTTTTCCTCCCGGTGGGATTCAGCATGGGGCTCTGCTTTGCCTCTGGACCCATCCGAGTAGCTTCAGAGCAGTGCGGGATGGGATGGTGGCTGAGAACAGAGACTCTGATGAGCTTGGGTCCCTAGGTTCCAGCCCCAGATGTGAGCTGCACAGCACCCTGAGTAAGTTACTGTATTCTAAGCCTCATCTGCTGGCACACATCTGCCGTGCCATCCTGGCACTTGAGGAAGAGACAGGAAGCTTCCAAGTTCCAGGCTTATCTAAGCCATGTGGTGAGACCTTGTCTCATTAAAAAAAAAAAGATTATTAGATGCAGTGGGTGTATGTAGCACAGCTCGTCAAGTTCCCGCCTCCAAGATGGTTAGAAAAATGGATGCACGTGCATGGTAAGCATATTCAATTTGTTCTTGTCCGCTGTGAGTTGGTTCATCTGAACGGTTTAGGAAGCACCACCTTCTACGGCGGCCAGAAACTTCAGGAGTCCCAGTTTGTGCTTTAGTGGCTTCCGAGTTTCCGCAGAGGCTGGCTGTCATCAGGTTTCAAAGCCATCTGAGGGGGACAAGGGAGCAGTCCGCTGTGATACCTCTCCTGGCCAGCTGTGTCTCTCCTAGGGTTGGCCACCTGGCTGGAGGCCTGGCATGTAGAGAAGGATGTAGGGGTGTGCCAAGAGGAGGCTGGAGGAGCACCCTAGCACCGTGGGGTGTGCAGGTGGCTTCCTTCCCCAGTTAAGTGGCTCCTTCCACTTGAAGCTGTTTATCGTGACTAGTATTTCATGATAAGACAATCTCAGTGACTAGAACAAGGAAGATCTGCTAAGAAAATCACAAGCAGTGTTTTGTTTTAGCTTAGAGCTGGGGACTGGCTGGTGTGAGAAAGGAGAGGAAGAGGGGACTATGGGTGATGCAGCAGGCATTTGGGTTCTACAGAAGAGCTTCGTCTAAGCCATCATGAAGCTATGGCACAGCACCCTGGGGTGCAGAGTCCTTAGAACACTGGGAGCCTGTTGTGCTGTCTGAAGGCCTGAGGACCAGGAAGAGACTCTGGCAGGGCTTGGTGAGGATGAGGAGGATGAGCGTGTAGGTGCTCCTCATTGCCCCATCCTTGGTCCATCCATCTCTGCGCATCTGTGCATACATCTGTGTCTTTCTCTCCATACCCATCTCTGCACATCTATGCATATATCTGTGTCTTTCCACATCCATCTCTGTGTATCTGTGTCTTTCTCTCCACATCCATCTCTGTGCATCTGTCTTTCAATTCACCTGTTTTTCTGTCGGTCCATTCATCTACCCACCTGTCCATCCGTCTGCTCATGGTTGTCAGGTGAGGACCAGTTAGATGTCATGTGCTGGATTCAGGCTCCAGCGTGGCCTGTGGTCGTGCTCTGGGCAATATTAGAGTCTCAAGACCCAGACCTCAGCCCAGATGGAAGCTTTAGAGATAGCCGGAAGTTCTGGAGGCACTTGATGGCTCCCTGCAGAGGTCGAGGTCAGGAGCCAGCTCACCTTTTAGATGCTGGCAGTTCAGATAGCTGAAGTGATCAGATTACCCAGAGAAGTGGGTCAGGATGCCTTTCTTTCCATGAACATTGGGCTACATGGGGAGAACTTGTCTCAAAAAGCCCAGAAGATCGTTAGATCTAATGCATGCATACAGTGTGGATCATTGAGTTCCCGCCTTAAAGGTGCTTAAGAGAACCAGGTTCACATGCATGGAGAGCATATTTGCATTGTTCTCGCCAAAAACCCTCCCTTTGCTCTGGGAAGCCCCGCCAACGTAATTACTAAGGATGGGAACTGGCTAGACCACGGACGGATGTCTGTAAGCTTGGCTGCAGAACGGAGATTGCATGGGTACCTGGGTTACTTCCTCCGTGCCCTTCGAAGCTACTTGGGAGGAAGGCTCAGTGGAGTTTTAGCTCCCTCTGAGAGCAGAGCCCAGCTCCTCAGCCTGTTCCAGCCAGAGATCTGGGGTGGGATGGTGTGTCTCTGATGAGGTGGTGAGACCCGCCAGGCTCCCTGGACTTCCTGACTGAGTTCCAGTGACGTATCACTAAGGGGATTGCTTCCTGGAAGCAGAGGAGAAGGGCATCTCTGGCTCTTTGGTGTTTGGTGGGCATCCTTGCTTTTGGTGGCAGCAGTTGTCATTTGACAGTGCAGATTGCTAGTTCCTTTGCCACCAGGGCGTTTGCCCATTTAATCATCGCAACGTCCTTTTGCAATAGGTCCTATGATATGACTCCATCTGACAGATGGGAAGACTGAGGCTCTAGAGCCACAGGGTTAGGAAGTAGTAGAGCTGAGGGTGTGGATCCAGGAAGGACCCAGGAAGGCAGACAGGAGCATGCAACCCAACCCTGGGATGCAAGGTTGCAGTGTGTCACAGCCGGTTGCAATGTGACACCTCAGCTTGGGGGTAGGTCCCTGGGCAGGGGAATGAGCAGATTCCCAGGTGGCTGCTTGTGGCCTGAGCTGGAACGAGCTCTCACCATCCTATCTTATCTTATCCCTCTCAGATGTGGATGTCCTCCAGCGGCTGGGCCTCAGCTGGACGAAGGCCGGGGGTGGCCGGAGCCCCGCACCCCCCGGTGTTATTCCTTTCCCATCTGGCTTCATCTTCACGCAGCGGGCCAGATTGCAGGCCCCCACAGCCACAGTCCTTCCCACCACCCTGGGCTGGGAGTTGGCGCTGGTGTTAAGCCTCTGTTCGCACCGCGTGAACCATGCCTTCCTCTTCGCCATCCGCAGCAGGAAGCACAGGCTGCAGCTGGGCCTGCAGTTCCTTCCCGGCAGGACACTCGTCCACCTGGGTCCCCGGCAATCTGTGACCTTTGACCTGGATGTGCATGATGGGCGCTGGCACCACCTGGCCCTAGAGCTGCGTGGCCGCACGGTCACGTTGGTGACCGCCTGTGGGCAGCACAGGGTACCTGTCCCACTGCCTTCCCGTAGGGACTCTACGCTTGACCCCCAGGGCTCCTTTCTCTTGGGGAAGATGAACCCTCGTGCTGTCCAGTTCGAAGGTGCACTCTGTCAGTTCAGCATCCATCCCGTGGCGCAGGTCGCTCATAATTACTGTGCCCACCTGAGAGAGCGGTGCCGACAGGTGGACACATATGGTCCCCAGGAGGGAGCCCTCTTCCCCTGGGACTCGGGCCCAGCTTTTGCTTTGCATCCTGAACCAGCCTTGCTTGGCCTGGGGAACCTGACCAGAGCCCCAGCAACCCTGGGGACCAGGCCTGTAGGCAGGGGACCCATGGTGACTATGGCTCCTGCCATGCCCACCAAGCCCCTGAGGATTGTCTCCCCAGATGTCTCCCAACACAACTCTGCCCAGACACCACTGGCACCTGCCAAGCAGTCAGCCAGGAAAACACCTTTCCCCTCGCCTTCAGCTTCTTTGGCTGGTTCCACCAGGATTTTTCATCCAGCTGCTGCCCAACCACTACAGATCACAGCCACTAGTCCCACCACGCGTCCCCCCACCACGCGTCCCCCCGCCAAACCTTCTGCTTCTGCCCCTTCAGTCACCCCTGTGAAAAGTCCCCATCCAACTCAGAAAACAGCCGTCCCTTCATTCACAAAGCCTGTCCTACCCACCCAGAAGCCAGTGAACCGCACCTCCCACCTAGCACCTTCCAGAGCCTCAGGTCCCACTGTCAGGCCTGTCCAGAAGACCCTCGTGACACCCCGACCTCTAGCACCCAGCCCCCGGCCCCTGCAACCCACTGCTGGTGTATCGAAGAAGTCTACTATTCCCACAGCAGCAGAGGCTAAATCCAAGATGACCAGTCGGGCCAACAAGCCAGTCTTGGCTCTCACCAGTGCCCCTAAAACTCTTCAGCAAACTGTTGTGTCCCAGTCCCCTGTTCCCTTCCTGGGCTCTACGAGAGCCTCTCGGACACTGGCTACAGCCCCTGCTCTGCTGGGCACTGGAAATCCTAGAATGGCTCCTCCCGCTCGTGACTCTGCTACAACTCCTGCTGGAAGCAAGAAATTCACAGGGCTGGAAGCCTCCAAGAAAACCAGACGGAAGAGCAGCCCCCGGAAGCCCATGCCGCCCAGCCCTGAGAAGACAGCAAGGGACACCCCACCAAGAGACCTGACCACCAAGTCCAGCCAGCTGTCTTCCCCAGCCCTGGTCCTTGCCCCGGCTCACCTCCTGTCCTCCAGCCCCCAGCCCACCAGCAGCAGCTTCCCTTTCTTCCACCTGCCTGACCCTACACCTTTCCCGATGCTGATGGGGCCTCCAGGCTCCAAGGGAGACTGTGGCTTGCCGGTAAGACTGGGTAGGGTCTGCATGCTACTTGGTGCAGAAGTGGGTGTCTGTGGGGCAGTTCGGTTCAAGAGCACACCCCCTGGTAAGGATGAGGGAGGAAAGAGCTACCCTGGGGGAGGAAGCCAGTTTGGTCCCCAACTCCTTGGCCTTACTGTCTCAGTGGCCACATGTCCTAGGGCAGAGTTGTGAGCCCTTGGGGCAGACTTGGTAGGAGTCCCTGAGTTTTAGCTAGCTCAGGTCCCAGGTAATTCGCTGCTAACCCAGTGTCAAGGGTCTGTGGCTTCAGGAACACCGTAGTTGATGGACCTGGGTCACCACAGTGAGCTGACGAACAGCTCCCCATGTGGCCCTGCTGGCCTGTGCGCCCGTCTGGGAGCTGCGGACAGAGGTCACGGATGAGTAGCTTGGGATGTATTTGGCTTGGCACATGCAGCCTTCTTTTTATGCAGTCTAGTAGTTACTGACATTGAAAAAGTGGGGTGGTTCATAGGAAAGTCTAGTCCACTCAGTTCTTTTGGAGGGTAGGAGGCATGGTGACTCTCGGGTGGCCTCTTCTCACCATGATCCCACTTCTCCTTGGAGCGTCCTAGCTGGCCTTCTCATTGGCATGTGTCATCTGCCTGGCTGGTACCCATGCTTGACTGTCTACCCCTAGTTGAGGAGTGGAAGATGAGGAAGGGCCTGGTGGGTCACGGAACAAGGAAGAGACAAAGAAAAAGCATTCCATGTGCGGAGGCTCGCCTGGGACTGTGTCCAGGGCCAACGACCTTCCCTGGCTCAAGGCCAGTCCACCCAGGCGGGGAGCAGTAGGGTGGGGGTTCTAGAAGGCTCACGCCCCTGCTCTGACCTTGGCAATGGCCACGGTACAGTGGTTGCCCCCTCCTCAGAGCCAGGTGTCCTACTGGGCTCTGGGTTTCAGGGTCAGGCACCCTGCATTGTGGAGACAGTGGCAGACGCTGGGACTTCCTGGGTCTTGCAAACATACTTAATGAGTTTTAATAATCATTAGGAATAATATTTATCCAGCCCGTCTCCAAGGGGACAGAGTCTGCTCATTATAACCATATTTCGAAGCTTATGGAACTAGTGTACATTACTCCACAGTTAGGTCAGCTCTCGGCTCAATTTTCCCGTTGTTCTCAAACTGGCAGTCTGGAGTTGGGGATCCAGGGATCTGGAGGGGAAGACATGGAACCTCTGCACCCAGCCTGATCCTGGCCCAGGTGCTTTTGGCTCAGACAGCTCAGCTTCCCGTGCTGTGCACTCTAGGCCTGGGAAGCATAGGCTTAAGGAGGTGAACTGTCCTCCTGTGACAGGTCTCTGTGGTGCACCACAACGGAATGAAGGAGGTGAACCACCCTCTCCAGGCCAGGAGTGGAGAGAGGACAGGGCCATGTTTGGGTGTGTGGGCTTTTAGCAAGTAGACTGTCTTTTGGGCCTGTGGAATGCGTAAACTATGTCCCTTTTCCCTGGGGTCTGGGGCTGTGGTTCACAGTCTGCCAATCTCATCCTTGAGTTTCCTCATTATCAGAGGAGGTCCTGGAGTCAACATGCTCAGCTGATGGATGCTCAGGGATTCTTTAGTTGAATGCTCCTCTTTGGGCAGGTGACATGATAGGAGACTTGCCCTTGCCCAAGTTTGCACAGCACATAGGAGGCAGAGTTGAGACTGGACTCTGGAATCGAGACTCTGAGATCAGAACATTCTATCCCTTTACTCCCCAGCTAAGGGTCCACTCAGAGGCTCTGGATTCAGGGCTGAAAGGAGGGAGGTTTCAGAGACAGTCAGGCCTTGCCCTCGTCCTCAGAAGAAGGGCTACAGAATCTTACGCTTGGCTTTAAGACGGCAGGCCAGGTTTCTGGGTGTGTATCTAGTGCCCGGTAGTTAGGCCCCCTGAGACAGGGTGTGTGGTCATCTTCTGCCACAGGTGAGCAAACAGGTGGGTGGGCAAAGAGCTTGGAGCGAGGATACCGGCATGTTCCTGCAGGGGCTAGGGATGAGAGGGACATCAGTCTGCATGGTGCCATTCCAGCCTCACTCTCCATTCTGTCCCTGACCCCTCACCTACTCCCCAGCTTGGAACTCTCCACTAGGAACCAAGACGCTACTAGGGTCTTTGCCCACCATGTGGCAGGTGGCACACGGCCACTTCTTTTCCCTAGATATGGATATGGAGGTAGTGGGGACATGGACACACACCTTACCCTCACATTTCTCCCGGATCTGAGCATAACAGAGGGAGGCCGTGCTCCCTGGGTTTGGGGATGCGTGGATCTGGGTTCAAATCATGCTTCTGCTCCATACTTCCTCTGAACTGGTTCTGTAGCATGGGGTAGTGGCTTCCACCTGTCAAGTAGAGGGTGTCCAGGAATCTGTCACCGTAAAGAAGCTTGTGGGACTGTCTCCTTGAGTACCGGAGACTTTAGGGGAATTCTCTTACTCCTTTCTCGGGTTGGAGTCCCTTCTAGGATGGGCGTTGGAAAGCAATGCCTGGAAGGGGGCCGTGATGAACATGTGTCGTGGTTCTCAGGTGAGGATATGAGGTTGCCTGTAGAAGATGAGGCAGAGTTGTCTAGCTGAGGCCAGGGTTCAAGGAACGGCATAGAGCCACATGCCTAGGAGGCTGCTGCTCTGATAATGCGCGTACTTCTGTGTCCTTGGGGAGACCAGGCCAAAACATGAGCCGCAGCATTCAGTGAAGATCTCTGACATAAATATGAATGAATTTGAGCCTTGCAAAGACCAGATTGTCCTGATTGCCAGGCCAGGATCCTTGAGGTCAAACATAACTCCCCTATCGAAGAAGTGACAAGATTGTGTGGCGTTAAGAAGCACGCTCATCCTGTAATCTGAAAAACCTGGATGTTTTTGTTCCTAGTCCAAGTGGTGATAAAATTCCTAGATGCTTTGTGCTGTGTGACCGCTGGCAGGGCACTCAACCTCTCTGAGCCTTAGTTTCTGTGAACTGGAGATGCAGTAAGACTTAACTCTCCAGGGTTGTATAATTTTGGGAGGAACTTTTTGAAGGTCTGGGAAGCACAGGAGAAGCCAGCAGCGTTCTGCAGCCATGGCTATTCCTTGTCATGCCCAGATGACCTCCAGGTAGAAGGGACAGGAAAGGAGTTACCAGCATTCAGCCCGAACTGAATCCCTGACCCAGGCCTTCACGGCACAGTAGTGAGTTAACGGCAGGGAAGCTGCCCCTTTTCCTGCAGGCAGCCCCTTTGCAGTGTGGAGTGGAAAGATACCTGCGCCCCCAAAAGGAGGAGAGCCAAGGAGTTAGGGGGGCAGCCTTTGGAAGGTGGCCTCGGGGAGCAGAGGGGGATCTGCCCAGAGTGCACCCATGACCTCAGAAAATGGCTTATGACATTCCCATTTTGCAGCTGGACTCGCTGAGACTGGAGGCATGGGGAGGTGTGGTCACTCAGGACCACACAGCTGGGTTCCCATGGAGAAGTTATGTCCCATCACAGAGGGTGGGTGCTCTGCAGACATCCATGGTCTCATCAAGGGACAGGCACAGAACAGGAGCCCAGGGACCAGGAGGTCATGGTTGAGGTGACCCAACAGAGAGCAGCAGCACCTTCAGGCCTGGATGCAGGTCCCTCAGAACTCAGGCCTGTAGAATGCCTCCCTGTTTGCTGATTGCCAGGGGTAGATGCCAGCAGGTCTGACTCTGTGCAGGGCCTCACTGCAGCTAGCACAAGGCGAGGGGGGGGGGTCTTGTTCAAGAGCAGGATCCCCTTGGAATGGCTCTGGGAGGTCAGGACACCAGAGGAAGCCTGCAGGGCTGATTCATGCTGCCAAGGCTCTGTGTGTGTGCATGCACCCTGGCCCAGGCCTCCTGCATTCCCTGGACAGAGACAGGCCTGCGGGGGCCCCTGCCCCTCCCCCACACGAGCCCTCTCAGAGGCCTCCTTGTTTGCAGTGTGGAGTGGAAAAATCCCACCCCAGCTCATGATTCATTGGGCTCCCCCGCTCAGGCTATGGGCCTGGAAAGAAACAGCCACGTTTTCCACTGTGCAAAAGCAGGGACTCACTGGGATGGAACAGAGGGGCCAAGGGCACCCACCATTACCCTAGCCAACAAAGTGAATGCTGAGTATGCCAGGGGCATGTCTGCAGCTGGGCTGGGTGGCTATGGTCCAATCCTCTGGCTAGTGGGATGGAGGTGGTAGCCATGCCTCAGCTAGGGGCTTGGACTGCTGTGTCAGGAGCCAGGCCATAGTCTGACCTTGCCAAGATGAGCTTTAGACCCCAAGTTGTACTGGGGTATGCTGAACAGATGTGCTAAGTGAGGTCAGATTCTGGCCCAGCTGCTCCAGAGCTCCAGAAGAAATATCCAGAGGTTGCCTCTAGGCTTCCGTAGTTGTAGCCTCATCAGGGTCCACTGGAGTCCGGCCTTGGCTTCCAGGCAAATGGAAATGGTCTTATTACTCTCTCGCCTGATACCCCCAACTCCAGTCCCTACAACTCAGGAGATGCCAGTACCTGGAAGACTGGGCACGTTCGTCTCCCAGGTGATCGCATAGGGGAGGACTTAGGCCAGGCCACATGGTTCGTTAGAGACAGCTGTCCAGCACTGTCTGTGAAGGACTTGCCTGAGATGAGAAAGCAAGCCCAGTGGCCTGCCTTGTCCAGCCTCTGCTTCCTGCTAGCTGTGTGGCCTTGAACAAGTCACTTTACCTCTCTGAGCCATCTCTGATTTTTTTTTTTTTTAATGCATCGAAAGGGCTCAGGGTCCCTCCCGCAGTGCATTTCCCTCCAACTGTGTGTCACCTGCCTGGGAGAATTGAGCCAAGGAGGAGGGTCTACTTGAAAAAGACACTGCTCTCCCCAAAACAGTAGTGCGGGTGTGTGTGTAGCTTAAACTCCTGAATAAGGAAGTCCCAGGGGCTTGCCTAGCAGAAATAACAACTCATGCTATTGGAGCGTCAACTTTATGCCAGGCACGAGAATTAGCACGTTTTATAGGTTATCTGTGGCGACAGGCTATTATTATCCTCATTGGACAGCCGTAGAAACCCAAGCTTGAAGAGGGAGTGGAAGCAGCTGGCACAAAGCCACCTCTTGGAATAGCAGGGCACTCCATCTGTGTGAGCCCCTGTCCCATGCTGTACTCTGGAGAAGAGGGAGATGGCCTGGCCTCAGTCCCAAATCTACGTGGACCGGATGGATAGCAGGGTACTGTTGGCTTGGCTGGAGGCACCCAAAGGCTCAGAGAGGGTTGGGACTTGCCTGAGGCCACGCTGTGCTCCTCCTCCTCTCATAGGACTGTCCAGTGACCGTGGACTAACTGGTGGTATCTAACTGTCTGGATCTGGGCTATGATTCTCAGGGACAGCAAGCCCTGGAGTGTTCACAAGCCAGCGTGCCAAGCTGAGTGGAGCCTAGCCGGGCTGCCCAGTGTGAGAGCGTGATCTGCTGCCAGCCAGAACGAACTCAGTTTTCAACACCGATTCTAACTCTGGGCAGGGAACCTGGAATCTCGTGGACGGTTATTTGAAACAAATGAATTCCCAGGCCTCACACTCCTCGAAAGCCTGGCTGCCTTTGAGGGGTTTGGGCTCAGTCTCTTGCATGCACGCTTGCTAATCTCATTTTCTTCTTTGGGGTGGAAGGGACGGTCATTAGTCACTACCTGCATTTTAAAGGGTCCTAGTATGCAGCGCTACAATCAGGATGCAAAGCCCGGCCTCTGGCTTAGTCAGTCCACTCCTGCTTTCCTGCAAAGGGAGCCATTATAGGACCCTGCAGGTGCTTCTGGGTCACTTCAGGGCCAGGCCTTTCTCTCGTGGGAAATGAGGAGCCATTGAATATTGTTGAACAAGGATGTGTCTGGGGATTAGACTGGAGGAGACAAGAGAGATGTATGGGGGTTTGTTGCAGGTTTTTTTTTGGAGCTGTGATGATGCTGGACCCTATGGGGGAACAGATGGGCATTTCAAGTGCAGGCTCTGTGGTACATAAGGCAGTAGACACATACTGTCTCTTGTCCTCAAGTAATCCAAAAGGACTGTGGCCCTTATACAGGCCGGGTTGTCAGAGTAACAAGTTGGCTACACGGAGCTGTGAGTGGGGCCAAGGCCATTTGAACTCAGGCCCAGCTGTTTCAAAGCCTCTGCGCGTGCCCTTTGTGCTCCACTGTCCCTCTGTGGTGCTAGGATGCTTGGTGTGACCTTGGCTAAGTCCCCTTCTCTGCTCTGACTCTGCAGAGAACTTGGCTGGGCTCTGAAATTGCCTGCTGTTTTGTGTTATCAGATGTTTGGCTGAGCCCTGGGGGTAGGGTGACTCATCTTCTGTGCTAGCACCTTTGAGGAGACTGCCATGTGCAGAGAGAGCCAGGCTTCCAAACAGACATTTCCCCAAGGAAAGGAAAAGGGAAATGGTCAAGGAAAGCTTCCTGGAGGAGATGGCATCCTCACAAGCTAACTGAGTGATAAACTGATAAGCGACGGGGCTTCATAAATTGGGAGAGAACAGGTGTTAGTTATAGAAGGCCTGGAAACCCCAGTAAGCATGAGTTCCCCAAGGCAGAGAACTCAGGGGACTCCTCTTCATAGCCTGGAATTTCTGTACAGGATTGTTGACTGACTGACTGATTGCATTTTCTGCTGTATGTCAGCATTGCCTCCCACTCTCTTATTTCCTCTTCAGGGTCCCCCTGGGCTGCCGGGATTACCTGGATCTCCCGGTGCACGAGGTCCTCGGGTAAGTGATGGTGTGTGCTGATTGTCCTTTGGGGTTCTAGATGCATCCCACTGCCCATGGAGCCCCCAGCCCGCTGTCATCCGCAGGTCTTTCCCTGCCTCTCTCTGGACCCATTTTCTATTTTGTCTTTGGGGGTGGACATGGTATGTGTAACAACCATGGTATCTTGTACCCTGACTTGCTCCACCCTCTGTGACCCAGGGCAGGGACTCCTGAAGTCCATCTGCAGGAGCAGATCTTTCACCTGGAAAACCCCAGTGTGGGAAGAAGAGACCCTGGGGTGCCTCCCAACTTTGCCGGGCCATACTGGCCTGGGGGGTCTGACAGAGCAGTTCTGTGACCCTGGAGAAGTGCTGAGTTCCTGGGCTGGGACCAACAGTGCTCATATCCTTGCCCCGGCTGATGGAGCCTTTCTCACGCCAAGGGCCAGGCAAGCACCCGAGGAGGAAACTTGCCTGCTGTATATTTTTAGCTCCAAGCCCAGCAGTTGGTTTTGGTTATGCAATTACTTGGGCCCTGTTTCTTTCCAGACCTGGCTGTGTCCTCCTGAGCCCAGGACTCTGGAACCTTCCATCTGATCTGCCTTTCCTCCTGGCTGCAGAGCCTGCTGGGGTGCATGCCCAGAGCTGGGAACTACACAGGTGTCGGGACCTTGCACTTTGACCTAGTGTTCCAGGGCCAGGCAGTCTGACCCCTGTTCCCAAACTTCGCCAGCCTTGCTCAGTGCACAAAGTCCTCTGTCTGTGGCTCACATGAGACACCACCCCCTTTTCTGATGACTCTCCCTGTCTGGAGCTCCTCAGCAGTTTGCCTGGCACACCCATGCACCCGGAGCTCTGATTCCCCCAGGTGACTTCATTCCTTTATTCCCTTAGGTAAAGTCAGAGGAAATGCCAGAGCCAGGGCTGAGCCCACGCAGTTTGATTCTGTAGGCCACTCACCTTCGTGAGTATTCACTGTGCTGAGGTTTCCACCAGCGGGTCCTGGCCACAGCAGAGATAGGCTGTGCTTGCCTGTCCCCCTGACATGATACCTAGCAGAGGTGCCGGGGAGCATTTGGGAAAGCTTCCCACAGGGAAGTTGTGTTGACCTAGGGAAGTCTAGTCCATCCCTCTTCCTGACCTCAGTTTCCTTACCTGAGGGATCAGGACCCTGCATCTCGGAGTTTCCCTTCCAGCTCAGATGACTCTTTGGATATGCTTCGGGTTCTCTACCTGCCCTGCTCTCTTCAGCCTGGGTCTACCCTGGAAGTTCCGTAGATCCTACTAAAATCTACAGCTAGCAGGATGTTGGGTTAAACAACCCTGGTGCCTCTGCACACCCAGCGGCTCTGGGTCCCAGAAGGGGAAGGGTCCTACCTGAGATCACCCAGAGCTCTGTGGTCTTGTACACTCCCTGAGCCTGCAGAGGGATGGGGAATCCCCGAGCCCCCCAGTCACCGTTCCAAGAAGCTCCGTTTATGGAATGAGTCTGCTTGGCTCTTTATCAACTATGCGCCTCAGAGGCAGTGGCTGGGAGGATGCAGATGGGACAGCTATGAGAGGGTGTGTGTGCATGTGTGTGTGTGTGTGTGTGTGTGTGTGTGTGTGTGTGTGCGTGCGCGCACGCGCGCGTGTGTGTGCATGTGTGTGTTTCTGTGTGTGTGTGCATGTGTGTGTTTCTGTGTGTGTGTGAGTGTGTGTGTGGCACAACTAAGACAAAGGGTCAGGGGAGGCAGCTGCTCTTGACCTTGTGAACCTCCATTGGCCCTTGAAGGGGGCTGGGCATCAAGGATCCTTCCTCACTGCCCCCCCATGGAGCCTGAACTTTGGTTACACCCCCAGAACCTTGGTAGGATGAACACATGAGCTTTTCCAGACTCCTTAGAGACTCATCATTTGGGGGTATTCATGGACAGATCGGGAGACAGAGGCTAGGGGCAGGGTGCAGACAGAGTGAGACTCAGAACCTGGACCAGGTCCTAACCTGTTCAGGTTCTACCCCTAGATTGTGGGGAGGGGGGTCGGGAGGGCTGCACATAGTACTCTAAATTCCCCAGGCTGAGAATTCTCTGGACACCCTTCCTTCCTACAGTGCTCAGAGGAGGGAAGGGTCCCATTTAGGCATCCATACAGGAGGCGGTGCCTTGGCCTGAATGTGACAGGCCACAGCTGGGGGATGGTTCAGAGAAGGAGGGGAGGAAGCCACACTAGACACAGTCAGCAGATGAGCAAGAGGGATCAGCTCGAGGCCTCGAGAGCATGGTGGGACCAGGGACCAGTGGACCTCTCTAGATGCCCCTTCCTATCCCGTCTACTCCTGACTGTTGCCTCTGAGCAAAGGCCCTAAGGCGTGACCCACCTCTGCTGGTGTACGTTGCTGGGCTGGAAGCCTGTGGATGGATCCTTACGGCAGGAAGTGGATGTGAAAGAAGCCAGCTGTCAGGGGCCTGGAAGATGGCCTGAACAGTACAGTGCATGAAAAGAACAGTCCGCAGCCAGCATCTGAAGACTCCACTTGCGCATGCTCACCCCTCTGTAGTGTGACCTTGACCAAGTCTCTTGAACTGTCTGGGCACAACTTCTAGCCATGTCAGGAGGACCCTGCCTTGGAGCCTGCGGTCAAAAGGAGGGCTCTGATCCAACCTAGGAGGGCGCCTCTGACCCTGAGGGGCCACGCCCACCCTCCATAGAGTCCCAGCCCAAAGGCTCTGCTAAAGTCTAATGGGAGAGGTCACTTGGGTTAGAGTAGCCCTAGAAGGTTCTCTGAAGGAGATGGCCTGACTCAAGCCTTGAGGATGGGTCTAGTTTCTGCTGAGGGGTAGATGGACAGGACATTCTACTTGGATGGTGGGGACAGCTGGGGCCAGGGAGAGAAAGTACCTGGAGGTTGGAGAAAAAGTGTAGCTAAGTGTGGTGCTTGACGGTCCAGGAGCAAAGGGTGTACCCTGAGCTCAGACAGGTCGGGTCCAAGCTTGCTCTGTCCTTAGCCTCCTGAGCACCCTCTGAGTACTGGCTTGCTCATCTTCACAGCAGGGGTAGTGCTGGCACCTACCTAGGCTCAGGGGATGATGGGATAAGGCAGGTGGCGTACTCATGCAGGGTCAGAATCCCAGGGTTCCCCTCTCGGGAGGACGCTGAGCTGACAGAGCTGCTCACCTGGGGCTGAGGAAGGAGCTCACAACGGGCAGCAGGATGGTGTCGGCAGTGTTGTCGGAAGTGGGGTGTTTGTTTTCTCTTTCATCTCTTGTTTCTCTCTCTTCCCTTCCAGGGTCCTCCTGGGCCATACGGGAACCCAGGCCCACCTGGCCCGCCTGGAGCCAAAGTGAGTATTATCAGTGGGGTCTGGAGGTGTGGCCATGGGGTGGCAATGGGTGGGGCCTCACTTGGGTTGTGACCTAAGAGCTCCTGGTGGAGGACTGTCAGGGGCTTTGTGGAGGAGTCCCTTCCGGACTGTAGCTACCCTAGTTTCTTCCTGCACTCACGGCGGGGGGGGGGGGGGGGGGGGGGGGGGGGGGCTGGCTGTGCAGTACAAAGCAGTGGGTTTAGCTTGTGGTTGGAGAGGTGGCAGCTTGGATCTGGAGGCTTTGAGGTGGGGGTAGGCAGAAAAGCAACCTGGTGCTTCACAAGGAGAGCCTTGACCTTGAATGTTTGATAAGGACATAAGATTTATGGGTTGGGAGATATGCCTTCGGGAGGTGTGGCAGCTTTGAACTGGGAGAGGCATGGAAAGATGGAAGTTTAGAAGATTGCTGATTGTGGTAGGTAGGATTGGGATGGGGACCAGGCTGAGCCAGGGAGAGGGGGGTCGTATTGGGGAGTGGTACAGCCTAGGGCAGAGGAAGTAGGGGAGAAAGGATGGAGATTGGAAGGAGATGGGACACTGGGACTCTCTGGCACTGGCCTGAGTGACAGCCTTCAGGCCAGAACAAGGACTGAGGTGACATCGTGTTTGTGAACCTGCGGCCCAGCTAGGGGTGGTCATGGGGAAGTGTTCTGAGCTGGAGGTAGATCGGGCATGGGGGTAGGCCTAGGCTGTCACCTCCCCCAGGAGCCCTCTTGGAATACTCAGGTTTGTTTCTCATGAGACTGTCACAGCTGGGGTTTTGATGATGACAGAGCCCCGGCTACTGAGCTCCTACATCGGGCAGAAGTCAAGGGTGTCAGGCTGTTATCTGGAGTAGTGTATGGGCAGCCACATTTGGGTCACGGGGAAAGAAGTTTCTGGACTGGGAGAAGTGAAGGGGGAGGGAAAAGTATGGAGCATGAGGTTAGTGAACTCCCCACTGGCGTGGGCAGGCCACGAGGAGCAGAGGATCTCTCGGCTCCCTGGCTTCCTATCTCCCTCTTCAAACCAGCCACGGGGTAACCAGGTGAGCAACAACCCTGAGCTTTGGGTGGCCAGGGTCCAGGGTCACTCTTTGCTAAGCCAAATGAAAGGTGAATGGCTTAAGGGAAGTTTAACTGTCTGGCCTGGTGGTGCTGAGTAAGCAATGACTGGCCTCTAAAAGCAGGCACAGAGTGGCCCCCGCTGGCCTATCAGAGTCTCTTGAAGTGGAAGACAAAGGCTACATATGGGGAGTCCTGGACGCACAGATATGAGGACCAGTGTCCCATGCCTGAGTCCTTGTAAGGAGCTGCAGGTACACTTGCCCCGGCCCCCAAGGTCTGTGACTCTCAGGTGAGGCTGGACTGGGGTTCCTTCTCAGAAGGCAGGCAATGGAGCCCTCAGGAATCCTGTGCCCAGCACCTATGGGGTGCACCAGGCTCTAACAAGGCCAGCAGTGGGGTTAATTGGCACCATGTTGTATTACACCTCTCCCAGTAGGCACTGTGCATGGGCCTTACTCCCTTGTCTCATTTGATCCATACTGACTCAAAAGAGAAGTGTGAGGACTCTACCCATTTACTGACGGAGAAGCTGAGGCATGGGCAGGTGAAAACCCAGTGTGGGAACTTGTCCCGATGGATCAGGCAGAAAGGGTTGTTCCTTGGAGATGTTTGTTCGGCAGAGGCCGAGGGCCTGTCAGGATATTTGAATGGGTGGGATTGCCCTTGGCTGTCTCCCTCACAGCTGGTTCCTTGTTTGCAGGAGGATGCTCTGTCAGCTACTCCTTTTGTCCCTTGCTGGCCCTGGTCACCCTCTGAGCACTGCAGGCAGCCTACTCCATCCTGCCTAGGGATGTGCCGTGTGGCAAACGAGTCCTTAGTGGCCTCCCCCAAATGAAGGGTTTGGCACAGGGGCTGGTTCCCTAGTAGGCAATTCCTCCTACCGCACAGAGCTGGGACATGTGGATGGGACTGGCTTGGTGGGCTGAGTCTTGAAGTCGTTCTGTGCCGATCTCATATGGAAGATGTTGGTTTCATGCAAGCCATGTACAACTGGTCCCAAGCCATGCAGAATGTTCTGCATTGGGTGTAACTGAGGGTGTGAGTTCCAGAGAAAACCGTGAAGTGAAAGCTGCCTCTCCCACTGGGGCTTCTGTAAAACACCACAGGCTATAAGGCAAAGGACACTGGCTGTGGGCACAAGGGAGTGCCGCTGACTCAGGGCTGACCAGCTGGGTCAGAGACCTCAGTCTGCTGGGTCTGCCCTTGCGCGTGTGGTGTGGCCAGGTAGAGCTCCTTCTGTCTGGATGGAACTGGCAGCTTGGCTGAGACTCAGGGAGCAGAAGGTCATGAGTTTGGGTTGAGAGAAGGGCGTGTGGAGAGGGTTCTCATTGCTCATCAGGGCTCCTTTGGGCCCAGGAGGTAAGCTGATGGCCTCGCAGAGCTAGCCTAGCTCCAGGCCACTTAGCCTGGCCGGCTCCCACTTAGCTTGTTCTCCTGTTTTGGCGTGGTGTTAGCTTGCTCTGGGACTGCCCATCTAGCCATCATTCTTGGTTTACTGAGACTCTACCACGTGCCGTTGACAGCTGTAGTGGCCCAGAGCCACCAGCCTCCGGGAGGGGAGGAAGGGTCAGAAGATGAGCAGGAAAGGGAGGGAGGAAACAGAAGGGACTTTATCCTTCAGGAGAGGCGGCAGAGCTGGGTCCTGTGTTCAGGTGGAAGGAGCCTTGCAGTTGCCTGTGCAGTCTTGCCTGGGCTCCACAGCTAGTCCAGGCTAGACCAGGCTCTACCCAACTCTGCCTTATGCAGAGCCCTGTCAGAAAGACGGCTCCTCAGCTTCCTCTCACACAAGGCCAAGGGCTCTGAGTGCACTGAGAGCTAGCCCGGCTTGGGGGGCAGCGTTGTGGACTGAGTGGCTCAGGGTGGAGTCACTGGGTAGATTTCATTTATTCATCAACTTGTGGTTGTGCTTCAGGAAAGTACAGATGTTTAGAACACAGACTGTGGAACCTCATCGCCCAAGCTCAAATCCCCAGTTCTCTTCCCCCTGCTTCCCCGACAGTGGACAGATTGAACTTACCATTCCTTACTTTCCCCACCTGGAGAGTAGAGTAATTAGGGCAGCTGCTGATTCCTGTGAGGAGTATCCAAGTCACCTGTGTTAGTCAGGGATCCTCTTCAAAGGACAATGGAGTCAGCTCATGCCGGGCTCCAGCGTACAAGGCCCCCAGATTGGCATAGTCCTGCTTTTGAGACCAGCAAGAAACAGAACATGCCCTTATGCTAGAGAATGGAGGAGCACACTAGTTGGGGCTCCTTGAATGTCTGGGGAATGGGATTGATCTGACCCGGGGTGAGACCTCCCTGCGGGCAGGAAGGTGAAAGCAGGGAAGGACCGGGGCATTTGGGACATTCTCCGAGCAGCAGCAGGAAGGCAGGGAATGGCTTCAGCAGGGAGGCGCTCAGGAGGTTCGTGTCCTGCGTGGCTGCCCAGTAAGCAAGGCTTGGCCTGAGGTCCCCAGGGAAGTGGGACGCTGGCCAGGGCAGTGCTGCTGCAGATCACAGCATGTCAGGTGTGATGCTTGCCCCTTGGTGGGGAGGAGATTGCCGGGAGGTCAGCAGTGGGTGGACTTCCGTCCACAGAGAAGGTGGAGTCTGCTTCTTGGGGCCAGCGAAGTACCCATCCCCAGCCTGCCACTCTGTCCCTGGTCTGGCCTGGTGAATTAGTCAGGGTGAGTATGGTACTGTGGATCGTCAGGGTCCAAGAACACAGGGCTTTAGAACTGGTCAAAAGTGGGGTGGAACAGCCGTGGGAAAGAGCTGGGCTACCTCACTCTTTCCCATGGTGACTGAGGTAGGACACAGTCATCAAGGCAAACACTGAAGAAACTGGGAAGAGAAGCCACCACCGGCTGTGGCTCCTGGCCAGCGACAAGCACTGTGTGTGTTTGCAGCAGTAACGGACGAGGCGCCTCGGAGAGCTTCCCTCACTTTGTAGGGCAGATGTTATCACTCCCATTTTACAGGGGAGGAAACTGAGGTCACATTTCTAGTGGGTGGCAAGGCCAGACTCCCAGAGTCTGACACGAAGATCAGACGCAGAGTCACAGGACGCCTGAAGCCTCCCACTCTTGGGCTATCCAATTCTCCCTGCATGTGTCTTGTGTGGGATGTGGTTTTCTCTCACAGAGGTGGCAGTCTGGACCTCCTCACCTAGTGTTCCAGTCTCAAGCATTTCCTGTCGTGAATGTTTAACCTTGAGTGTGTTCCAAGGGCTGGTGGCAGGCACCCTGTCAACGTTCTCACCCTGTTCTTTCTCTAACTGCTTTCTCTATGCAAAACTAAGTTCTGCTAATATACGTGCAACGTCTTGAAGAAAACGACTATACCTGAGTATTGGGATATCTAATTATTTTATTAGGATAGATTTATAGGAAGCAGAGTTCCCAGCATGGATTCAGGAGCCAGCGGGGCCCCAGTTTGAATTCTGATTACCCTCCTGTGCTGCATGTGTTACTTGGGATAAGTTATTTCAAGTCTCCAGACCTGGCTCCATCTCCGTGAACAGGAGTGGCTCACACCTCACTGCGTTCTTCTCAGGACTGAACTGTGTGTGTTTATGTATGTCACGGTATGCATAGGCGTGCGCAAGCAGCATGTGTGAATAATTTATAACATGCCTGTACAGAAAAACGGAGAGCGCCTTGCTGTTAATGCCTTAGTCACTGCCTTTGGGGGGGCGGGGGACTGAGCTAATGCTGGAAGCGCATTAGAGGAAGATGCTGAAGAGAGACAGCTCATTATTTTCGCTGATTGTCTATGACATATTTTTCCTTAGGTCTGTTTGAAATGTGTTTCACCACTTGTAATTGTTTTATTGGGGGTGCGGGTGGGATGTTGTCTTTGTTACGGACATGTAAAAATTATTCATATATGGAAATTATGAAAGCTTCACCTACTTAGAAATATTTTCCTGATTTATTCATTGCCCATGAG